AATTTCAAATAATTCAAATCACAATAACAAGTAACAAATTTTATTTTGAGATTATTATTCTTATCTCGCTTAGAAAATCGTGCTCGGGTATTGCACATGCATAATGTGCAATTTGTCAACATCGTAAAAGCCTACGAGTATGTCTACGAAAACGCTTCTCTCGTTTGAATGGAAATTTGGATTCTTCAGGGTGTGATTTTTCATGTGATGTTCTTTTTTTTTATATAGAAAAAATATATATAATTTTTTGGATTTGTCTATTAGTGTTCTTTGTTTTTTTTCTGAACCTTCGTCTTCTTGTGTGATTTTCACCATTAATTTATTACTATTCATTTAATATATAGTTTTGACCACGGGGGAAGAGATGAATAGTAAAATGGGTGTAATTAATTTTTTTATAAAAATAATGTTACTACGTGCTCAACTATCGAAAAAGGATTTAAAAAGAGATATCATGATTGCTTATGCTTTATAATGTGAAAGGTATCTGGTTAAAGTGTGATGCATATTGGATTGTGGATTCAGAAGTTACAAAAGTTTATTCCATTTTTGTTTAAAGATTGCATCTTTTTCTTGATTCAATTGAATTGAATTATAAATAAAACTTCCTTCTTTTTCTCTTTTCATTTTTTGTTTGTGACAGAGTTGCCTGTAGAATATCAAAATCAAGGTGGAGTACAAATACAACAAGCACAGGGTACAACAACACCTGTTTCTACCACCCCTGTCATCACAATTTCCACTGCTGCTGCTAGTGGTCCTAGTAGTAGCAAGGTGTTTGCTAGTGTGTTTCCATCGTCGTCATCAGCTCAGCATGTTAACTCGTCTTACTCGGATATTCTACGTGCTATTGAGACCGAGCAAGTGATGGCTGTAGAGCCCATATCGCTCTCATTGTCATCTTCTCTTTACTTGTCTAATAATAGGGCAAGTTTATTCCAAGAACACACTGGTGGCCACGGCCACGGCCATGGCCAGCATTATGGTTCAGCAACAATGCAGCCAGCATTATCTGCAACTGCATTACTTCAAAAAGCAGCCCAAATGGGGTCAACAACTTCAAACAACTCGTTTCTCCGTGGCCTTGGATTGGCAATGTCACCGAGTACTTCTACACCGGAGGAGAATTCACTAGCAAGGAGGACTAATGCTCTTGGCCATGTGAAGCTAGAGAGCAATATTAATGCAGAGGTACCCGGGCTCGGGATACAACTTCATGGTCATTCAGGATTTACTGACTTGATGATGGGTCCATCCATATCTCATCAGACATCTATGATGTTCGGAAGCAAACCTCCGACTCTTGATTTTCTTGGTTTAGGAAATGGTGCTAGTGGAACTCCATCAAACGGATTTTCAGCGTTTTTAAGCTCAATGGAAGACGGATTTGGTGTTGTAGCTGAGCCTTGGGATGACCCTTCTGATAGAAAACCTGCTATGCTCTAGCTAGAGTTTAGTTGCATTAATGCAACGCCTGTACAAGGGCTTTGCTCGCGCGCTCATCACCACCTACCTACATTTCACATCTCGACACAGTGGAACGTGTAACCCGCCTGTCAGTGAAGCTCTCTATTCACATCCCCCTCAAAGTTTTTGAATTGGAGTTCAGTTTTTTGTTTGATATTTTATACATATGCAATAGTTGATAGGGATAGCTAAGTTATGTTCATAATCTTGATATTGCACCCTTTTGGTCTCTCAACCAAACATCATTATGAGATTTTAGTTTAATTAGGAGAGTATAGTAGATGGATCTAGTAGCTATTAGCTAGGTTTCTAAATTATTATGTAGTAATTATTATGTGAGAGAATAACTAAGTTCACAATGTGGATATTTCTCACTTGGGAAAATTTCTTTAATTTTCCACCTACTTTCTTTATCCATTCTTTTTGTCTTCCTTTGAATGTTCACAATTTCATCTCCATTAGTAGTAAGAAAAGTCTAGTGTGAATTGATGATGTTGGGAACACTTATTCAAGGACAACATTAGATTCAATGTTTCTTTAGGTCCTTTTTCCTTTGTGACATGAAATTCATAGGTGTCTCACCAAGTAGAAAATTAAAATAATATAAAATATTATTTTTGGATAACTAGTACTCCATTAGTTACAATTTATCTTTACTATTATTTGACTTTGACATTTAGTATGTTGTTATTCATCATTTCATTTGATTTCATTTGGCATAAAATTTAAATAATGAAAGAATTTTTTTTTATGTTAATAGCCTAAAACTAGCATAACATTTTATGTTATTTGATTATAAAAAGTAGAAAACATAATCTCACATAAAATCTAACATATATTTGATTCTTTTTTATCTATTTTCCAAATAACATAATATTATCAAAAACAATTTTTGATTCATGTTTTTGTGCACTATGATTGCATTTCATCAACAAAGTCAATCAACTTAGTTCATACAATATTTCCAATAGATATTGCTAACGTAGAATGACGTATATATTTATTTTAACGAGCAATCAAACGACCCTACTCGATCACATGCCTTCTTCCAACAATGTACCTCCAAACAGCTAAGCCTAAGGAGAGGAGTAGACATTGGAGAATCAGAAAAATGGAAATGTGGGGAATAGGCAACAGACATTGCCATTTATAATGCAAGTACCATAACATTTCTTAACAGAGACGATCATGCCGGTCGGTCAGTAGGGGCTCCCCCCACCCCCACCCCCCACCAACCCCCCAAGTTAAATCTTCAACTTAAATTTAATTAAAAGCTTTTGTAGACTACTGTAGTGGTTGACTGTTGGGCCACGTTGGAAATTAATGAAAAATGACACTCATAATTTATTAGGAAAATTAAAATATACAATCGAAATTCTAAAAAATTATGTATAAATACAAAATTTATGTATACGTATCATATTTGTATATGTTGAAGAAGAAGAAAGCTGACGATTTGAACATGTCCAACGAAACCGATTGACGTGTCTGCACCAAGTATTGATGAAGAAGGAAGCTGACCATTGAAACATGTCAAGTGAACAGTTCAACGAAGCTGACTGACGAGTTTACAACATTGCTGAAGAATTAGAGTTGCACTAGGATTACAGGCAGTCTATGTTCCAATCCTCAACTTCCTTCTTCATCAACACTTGTTGCAGACACGTTAGTCATGTTCCAATCGTCAGCTTCCTTCTTCTTCAACAATATATTCGCAAACGAAATATACATACAGAAAGAAGTATACCAACCATAGCCTCCATTTCAAATAGAACTATAGATATGGAGTGCAATTATCGAAATTATAGCTATAGAGTCTTAATATGTGTATTATATTTGTTATTTTTATAATTTTCTCATTGTTATTTCAACAGGTTCTGAAAATGAAAAAGAGTGAAAACTATTTTTAAATAATTTGAAATTGAATTGATAAGTTTGGTCAAAAGATACTATTATCGTTAATAATTTGATCGAAAAATATTTTTGTTAGAACATTAATTATGTCTTTCTCAATTTTAATTTGGATCGGAAGGATGAGCATAACATTAAATGATGCACACTCTTGACTGTGCCCACCTGCAGTGACATCGACTGTTCAGTGATATAGATAAATAACAATGACTAATTAGTGACATTCCAGCTAATACAAAATTTCAAAAGTTTTTGCACATTTGCATATTTATATCGAATTATAATTATGTATAGTATACCACACATGAATAACATATATCCAAAGTGCTTTTATAAAATGGGGTGTTTTATGAAGGGAAAATAAATACCATTTTATTTTTGTCTCTTTGATAATTGATAAATCCTTAGTTCCAAAGAAATATTATCCAGTAAATATGACAATCAAATAGTAAGAGACAAACAATAAATACTACTCTCTCCTACTCGTCGTTTATTTTTAGTAGTTAGTTTTCATAAAGTTAATTCGATTAATTTTTAAAACTAAATCATTTTATATTAAATCTGAATATTATAAATATAAAATTTTACATATTTAAAAATTATAGAAAAAATATTACAAACTGCAATATAATGAAAAATACATCTTAAAAAATTTGTCAAAATTTAGTTATGACAATTGAAAAGAACGAATGTAGTGCTACGCATAAAATAATAGCAAACTTTTTTTTTTAATTTTCGCCCGGTGTTCACTAAATCTAGATCACGCATGCAAGGCCCATTCGAGGGTGACGCTTCCAACATGATTTTTTCCAAAGCTAAAACTTGAATCCAAGACCTCCAATGAAGGGTGAAACAATCAAACCACTACACTACAACTAATGTTGGTGATTTCCTAGCTATCTACTAACCTTTTACTCGTTGCATTTTTCTAATTTGAATTACAACTTTAGTAAGCTAAATTATATGTTGTTATCTAATCACCTTTTCATAATTTATTTTTCGAGGTATCTCTACCTTTCCTTATATCACATTCAACACCTAAAACCTTTGTAATTGTGCATTTCACTTGTATCATATTCGAATCATTTTTATCTCACTTTTTTCATTTAGTCCGACCTAAAAATTACTCCATATTATCCTAAATAGGTTTGTCCCTACATCTCTTTTCATAAAATCATATATCTATCTCAATCATTCTTATCGTGAAATATCTACATGAAGGGCTTTACGTAGGAGGATTGCATACCAGGCTTTTAACATAGAGATTGTTAAGGTGATCCATTAACTTTGACTAAAGCCCATTTGTTAAGTTTTTGAAAACTTTCTATTATCACATGTGAAATATTTTTAAAAATAATATTTATATCTTAATAATATTAAAAGAATATCTATATGTTTGTGAATAAAGTTACGATCCCTAAATATTTCACTTTTTTCGCACCTTATTTGTAAGGAAATATAGAATATATTACTGTTGTAATTTGTTTTTTACAAATACTCTTAAAATTACTCTGTCAATTCAATGAGAAAAATATAACCTTAGGTAGATTCAAAGATAATCCTTTAAAAGTTATTAGTAACCAAGACCATCAAATGCCTCTTTTGTATTTTACATTCGCGAATAACGTGTAATATTTGTTATTTGAATCAAAAATAATTTTTAAAAGCAATAAAAAAGAACCCCACGCCACCCCCACCAAGTGAGTCGTCTTCTCCAACTAGCCCTAACTCTTTTGCAGCAACACTCCAGCACACCCTCAAATGAACTTGAAAATGAAAACTATACACCTTCTCGGGCAAAGCTCAATCCCAAAAATAACGCGTTCTGTAATTTGAGCTACTTTTAACCTTAGAGAAAACAGAGCAGCCATGCTCTTTCATTCATGGAGAAAATCTCTATGCAACAGAGGTAACTTCTTCCCTTTAATCCAACTGTTTCCTTTATCGCATAGCCATGTATCTATATTTCATTCTTGCGCTTCTGTTCCCTCTAAATATCCTTCGTTTCGCAAAAAGCCATCGGTTTCTAAGAAGCGTAAAGTTGTAATTTTTAGGGAATTCAGAGATGTGAATAGTTTAAATGACGCCGTTTGTGTTTTTCATCGATTGGTCCGTAAAGAACCAGTTCCTTCTGTTGTAGAGTTAGCAAAATTGTTAAGAGTGATGATTAATATGAAAGAATATTCTGTTGTTATTTCGTTTTTCGGAGAGATGAGGAAGTTAGGGATTCCCTTTGATGAGTATATCTTGACTATTGTGATTAATTCTTTTTGCTTGCTGGGTTGTGCTGAAAATGGTTTTTCGATATTGGGTGTTTTTTTCAAGAGTGGTGTTCAGTTTAATGTGGTTACTTTCAGTACTCTTATGAGGGGACTTTTTGAACAAAATAAGATTCAGGATGCTATGTGGTTGTTTAGGAAGCTGGTGAAAGAGAAAATTTGTAAGATGGATGAAGTTATGTTTGGTACAGTCATGAATGGGCTTTGTAAACAAGGGCATACTCAAACAGCTCTTAGTTTGTTGAGGATAATGGAGCAAGGGGATGCCAAACCTAACACAGTTGTGTATAGTATTGTTGTAGATGCACTTTGTAAAGACCAAATGGTAGGTGCTGCTTTCAATCTTTTCAATGAGATGAAGCGAAAAGGGATTACTCCGAATGTACATACGTATAGTTCACTGGTTGATGGTTTATGTAAGTTTGATCAGTGGGAAGAAGTTAGGCTGCTTTTGGATGAGATGACGCATCTTAATATTTTCCCGAATGTACACACTTTTAGCATGTTGGTAGATGCATTTTGTAAAAAAGGTATGGTCGAAGATGCTGTGGAAGTGTTAAATGTAATGATCCAAAAAGGTGAACATCCTGATGTGGTTACCTTTAACGCTATAATGGAAGGGTATTGTTTGCGCGGTGAAATAGATGTAGCAAGAAGAGTTTTAGGCTCTATGACTGATATTGGTGTCAAGTGTGACATCTTTAGTTACAATATATTAGTCAATGGATATTGCAAGCAGAAGAAACTAGACGAGGCCATGCATTTATATTGTGAAATCTCGCAAAAGGGGTTGAAACCTGACATTGTTACGTATTCTACTATCTTGCAAGGCCTTTTTGAAGTTGGCAGAGTTGAATGTTCTGAAAATTTATTTACTGAGATGCAAAATGCAGGTCATAGTCCTGACATTTACACTTGTGGCATTATGCTTCATGGTTATTTAAAAAATGGTCATGTAGAAAGAGCAATGTCCCTCTTTCATAGGTGGGAAAAACAAAAAGAAGATGCTTATATTTTGATCTATAATAGAGGCAATGATGGATTTTTTAAAATTCAAAAGCTTGATAAAGCTCGTTCGATTTTTGATAAGCTTTATTCCGTAGGGTTGCATCCTGATGTTATAAGATACAATGTAACAGTAAATGGACTTTGTATTGAAGGTTTAGTAGATGAAGCCAAAGAGTTGCTAAGAAAAATGGAGGACAATAGGTGTTCGCCGCACAATGCCACTTCCAATCTTATAGTGAATGGACTTCTCAAGAGTACTAAAACTAATGAAGCAATGACCCTTTTGAAGGAAATCATCCAGAGAGGTTTCCCAGCTGATAGAGTCACGATGTCGTTGCTAATAGAACTACTCTTGTTAATAGGGGAAGGTCCTTTTTTGCTTAATATGATACCAGAACTTCATCTAAGAAATGAGAAATGAAGGTCTTAGTCCTAGATGACTATTATTTAGTTTAGGTGTTTAGGCATGTAGAGTTTGTGATGCAGCTTCAACCCTGGGTTGTGGTATCCTGTGAGAAACTAATATTGTCCCTTGCTGTTTGGCATGAGACTTCATGGATTTGTTTGAGCAATACTGTTTTTGAAGGAACCAAATGATCCACTTCTACTTTCTTCCAAAAGTGACTTCCTCGCCAACATTCAAACTTAAATACACCACAAAGACGAGCCTTATGTCCAGAAGGTCCTATATGAACTTCTGAGCAATGTTCACAGACCTCTGAACTCCAGATCAAAGTGCTTCCCATGCCTTCAAGGTTTCTCTTCCCAACAACATCAAATCATCGTCAGACAAAGAGTCAGCTTGAAAAGGAACACATGAGGGCATATGATTTCTTCACTTGGAATAGCGCTGCCTGCAAGCACAGTTCCACAACTGCTGGGATGCGATCATAATCAAATCTTTCTTGGTGATTGATTATATTCTGAAACATAGTTCGCAAATGAAATGCCTCTACTGGAACTAGAATATCGTTCAAGCTTCCTCTAATCCACTCACGAGCCTGATTTTTTAGCACGCCGCTGGTAACCATGACAAGTTTGTATCAAATGACAGTTCTCACCAATATATACTTCTGGACAGTATCTACAAACAAAATAACCCTTTGGAGGTTAGAAAAAAGTCTCGGCCAGGTACCACCTTTCTTTAACTACCATTGAAAGAAGAAAATATAGTGCCAAATGCAATTGTATCAGATGATGACTCTTTTTATTATAGCTAGAAGTCACACATAAAGATGCCAAAAAGAGCCAAATAAAAAAAAAGCATTTACACAACAGATGAGCAATATTCAACAGCAACGCCTCAATTTCCAAAGCTAATGTTGTCAGAAAAATATTAAAAAATTGTTTCTATCTTAACCTACTTCACAAAACGGAATGTACCGGATTTTTAGTACGTACAACCATTAAACCAGAGACCAGGTCCGTTTGGAGAGGCTTAATAAAAGTAGCTTTAAAAAAGTACTTTTGAAAGTGCTGAAACTTATTTTTAAATAAGCAGTTATGCGTTTGGATAAAAGTGTTGAAGTTAAAAAAAAAGTTGTTGATGTGTTTGGCAAATAAGTGCTGATAAACAACTTTTTAAATTAAAATATCTGAAATACCCTTAAAAGCTGTTAACATAATAAAAGTTAATTAATTTATATTTTACGGCCATAAATAATTATATTTTGCTATCATTCACATATTTCTTTCTCATCACAAATTATTTATAATAGGAATATAAACTTATTATAGATTTTAAAGATATATAATTCGAATAGATTAAAGAATGATTTAAGATTTTATTTTAGTTTCATCCATAGCTAATAATAATTGTCTATCATTCACATATTTCTTTATTATCACAAATTATTTATAAGAGGAATATAAATTTTTATTTAAGTTATATGTGCAATTTATTTTACATTTTAATAATATATAATTTGAATAGATCACTTGAAAGATTTAAAAATTATTTTATTTTTATTCATTTGTAATAGTAATTGTTTATCATCCACACGTGAAAAGGAAAAAATAGAAGAAAGAGATGTTAGGATTATGTGGATAATTTGGAGATTGTATAAAAATATTAAGGGCAAAAAGGTAAAAATGTGGTCTTAAAACAGCTTATAAGCTGGAAAAAAAGCACCCCTATCCTAGTTTTTAACTTTTGATTTAAAATAAGTTTTTTTAACTTAAAATAAGTTATTTTGAGTATTGTCAAACAACTAAATAAGTCAAAAATCAAATTTTAAATCAGTTTGACCAGATTTTAAGCTGAGCCAACCATGCTATCAATTTTACACTCCAAAAGCTACAACAACCACATATTCAAATATAAGAGCAGATAATGAAATGAAGGGATAATAATAATATTATTCAATAGATTCTTCAATTAAATTCTTTAATGAAATGAAGCCAGAAGGGCTAATAAATTTGGCAACCTCTACTAGAACGGCCAATGTGATTAGTGGATAATTAATCATAAATATGCTTACATCCTACTGGACATGATTACTGATTATGCCTTTTTGTTTGATCTCTTCCGCCGGCTGACTTTTTAAAGTAGTTTAGTTTATTATCAACTCACTATTTATTCATTTTTTCAACATCGATTCCCCAAAATCACAATTTTAATCTCCTCCGCCGTGGAACGCCACTTTTTCTCATTTCCCGGCTGCCGGACCACCGGGAAACTGAAATTCTTCTCCGATGTATCTCACAGTTTTTACGATTTTGCTATTTCTTCCCGTAACGTTCCTTTTCAAGTTCATATACTCAGTGATTTACCTTCCATTGAAGTTCGAAAAACACTTCAGGAAGCAAGGAATCAGAGGTCCCGGCTACCGTTTGATCTACGGAAACACAGAGGAAATCAAACAGAAGATTAGTGAAGCTGAATCGAAATCAATTCCGTTCAATCACAACATACTGCATCGAATTGCTCCTCATTACTACAACTGGTCCGCCGTTTACGGGAAGACTTTTTTGTGGTGGTTCGGGTCGAAGCCCCGATTGGCTATTTCTGACCCGGATATAATTAAAGGGCTTTTCATAAATAAAGCAGTGGATAAAGTTGAATTTGATCCACAAACTAAGCAGTTGTTTGGACAAGGCGTTGTTGGTTTGCGAGGTGAACAATGGGCTTTACATAGGAAGATTGCAAACCAGGCTTTTAACATGGAGGTTGTTAAGGTGATCCATTTATCTTCACTAAAACCCATTTGGTTAAGTTTTTTTTTTTTTTTTTGTCTTTTAGAGAAACAAAATGTCAATGAAGTTTTCCTGAAAATGCATTTAAAAAAGAAAAATTACATAAATTTCACTAGTTTAGGCTTTAATTACTTAGATACATTCTAGTTTGCGATATGTATCATATTAGATTGTGGTGTGTTAAGAGAATAAATGAGGTCAAATTTGCTCTAGATACATTGAATTCAAGTGGATTCACATGTATTTGAAATACCTAACAAATGCTGCTTGTCTGATTTATGGATTGAAAGAACCTAATAGCTTTAGCCTAAAAGCTGGATTGTGTTGTAAAAATCCACGTAATATGTATAAATAATTATTCAGAAAATATAAACTCAAAATTCTTGCCCTCTCCTCCCTCTAACCATAAGATTCTGTGTATTTTAGGCATGTTATATCAGTTTAGCTAACATATCAGAAATCTTATTCTTTTTGTCTTAGATTGGCTATTTGATCAAAATTTTCCATATGAAAAATAGTGGTAAACAGCAACAACTTCTATAAACTATAAATATGTTCTCCGAACACTAAGTCCTTCAAGAATAGGCTAGCTTTGTCTCTCAATTACCTATCACGCTCTTTCCTCGATGAAATCTCAATGTGTATTTAGTCGTTAACTTGTTTTACATGAAATTCGTGTATTGCCTACTCCATGGCATTATACCTTCTTCCACCTATTCATCATTGAGCACACTATTTTTACTTTGTATTGATTTCGAATTTGTATGACTAGAACTTGATCTTCTCATTACTGTACTATAAAGTAGCACCTATACCTATACTTATAAGTCAAAGCTTTTTTTTATTTTACTAAAGTTTTGATGAATGACAGGCTTGGGTACCGGATATTGTGACTAGTGTTATCAAGGCATTGAAGAAATGGGAAAAGGAAAATGAAGAGAAGGAAGAATTTGAAATAGATGTCTTCAAAGAATTGAATGATCTCTCAGCTGAGGTTATATCTAGAACAGCTTTTGGGAGTAGCTTTGAAGAGGGGAAACGCATATTTGAGTTGCAAGAGCAACAAATATCTCTTACTTTGCAGGCAATACGAAGCGTCTACCTTCCTGGATTTAGGTAAGTGATCATATAAGCTTTGTTGTGTTGAACTAATTTGGCAATTGTCAAATGAGTATTTAAGCATGAATGCTTTAATTTATTCATCAATTTAATGGATAAGAGATCTGTTAATAAATTAACAGGTATTTGCCCACGAAAAATAACATGATGAGATGGAGAATAGAGAAAGAAACTCGAGAGTCAGTAAGGAGGCTGATTGAGAGTAGTAAAGGGAGAGAAAATTCTAAAAGTCTTCTTAGTTTGCTAATCTCTGCTAGTGAAGAAGAACACGGATTTGGGATGGAAGAAGTTATTAATGAATGCAAGACATTTTACTTTGCTGGGAAGGAAACTACTTCTGTCTTATTAACTTGGACACTTCTTCTTCTAGCATTGCATCAAGAGTGGCAAGATAAAGCTCGAGAAGAAGTTTTCCGAGTTTGTAAGGGTAACAACCTTCCAAGTGCAGAGAATCTGAATGATTTCAAGATTGTAAGTTCAATTCTTTATCTATTTGTTCTGTTTCTCAACACATTAATTGAGGGTTGGCAACTCAACTCATGAGCTAGCTTTTGGGGTTCATTTGGGTTTAAGTTTCATTTCTTTTAACATGGTATCAAAGTCGCAGTCATCCCAATTATTGATTTATCCAACGTTTGGCTCCATGTTATGTTGTCTATGTTCTGAGTGGGCGTAGTGTCCATTCAAGCATGCTATGTGTGTTGAGTGTCCCAACATTATTGCAGGAGTAAATGTTCTTTTGGTAATCCTCACCTCATGAGTTTACTTTTAGGATTGCATTAGGCTCATTGTTTATTTCACTTTTCAAGTGGAAGTTCCTAACGTGGGTGACATATTGCAAATTTTACTTATGTTTGTTCTCTAATAGGTGACAATGATACTCAATGAGACATTGAGACTCTACCCACCGGTAGTCGCATTGACAAGAGGAACTTCTAAAGACATCAAGTTGGGAGACCTTGAAATTCCTGCGAATACTCAATTTTATGTTGCACTAGCTGCTGTGCATCATGACACTGAGATATGGGGGAAAGATGCACTGGAATTCAACCCTCAGAGATTTGTCGAGTCTCGTAAGCATTTGGCTTCATTTTTCCCTTTTGCATTAGGTCCAAGAGTTTGTGTTGGGCAAAACTTAGCCATGGTTGAAGCCAAAATCATCCTGGCAATGATAGTTAAGAATTTCTCCCTTGCATTATCACCTTCATATGTTCATGCTCCAACCATGCATCTTACTATGCAGCCCCAGTATGGTGCTCCTGTCCTCTTTAGGAAGATTTAAGTTTAAATGTAGCTACTCGTCACTGAGTGATGAGTTTGTCCATTGACGATATATCTTAGCTTCAATTATGAACAAGTTTGGATCGATTATATGAATCATTCATTCTGCTCTATTCATGTCCGATAATATCACTTTTGTTTTTACATATTCATGTTTCTCTAACAAGTAAACCAATGCATGTGCCTTCCTAAAATTTTTGACGTGTGGGAGGCGACAGGTATCCCGTGGAATTAGTCCTTGACATTGATTTTTTAATTGTATTTTATAGTTTTTGTATTGTCTGTCTATTAGCCTTTAACAGAATTTATTCTTGATTGAACCACAAGAACTTTGTTACTCACCCAAGTAAATAAATATGGAGATGACACTAAGGTTGGCATTAATCAATAGCTGTCTAGCTGCTCGAAAAGGAAAAAAAAATAGCTCGACGCACTAAGTATTTCACACGCAAGATTGGGACATCAATCAATAGTTGTTTCAAACTTTTGAAATTTGAACTACCAAACATAAAAACCCCATCCATGTGAGCATGATTCAAAGTTACGTTAATTTTAACAAACTTAAGTGAAACATTTTTCTCAACTATTAACAAAAAATATGGATAACATAACTACACAACGATGATTAGAATATTATCGAGATTTATTGTAAGTAAAGAAATACTTTTATTGATAAGATATGTCTCTTTGATTATCGACAAACTTAATGTGTTTATATAGTCACAAAGATTCTTCAAGTCCCTCAAATTCGGAAGTGCATAATAAGTATTTCTAAAGTCAAATAATAATAATAAAAAAAATAAAATACTCTAAAAATAAAAGATAAAAGATATTTATAACATTTCTTCTATTTGAGAGGTAGGTAGACAAGTAAAATCAATCCAAGTTGAAAATAAGCTTCTTCGCTACGAAATAGTCAATTTCAAATATATTTTATTGATAATATACTTTTTCTTCTTCTAAAGTAGTCCATTTTAGATAGATTTATGTGAAAATTTGAGAAGATTTTTTTTAATTCAAACACCATTACTTTAACTTGTACTTAAACTTTTTAAAAATTATTTAACGAGTATTTATAAATTACTAATGTTACAATTACAAAATAAATTAATTAAATTTATTATTATTTTAATAAATTTGTAATTAAAAATTATTTACCAAACGTTAAAAATTATTTAACGAGTATTTATAAATTACTAATGTTACAATTACAAAATAAATTAATTAAATTTATTATTATTTTAATAAATTTGTAATTAAAAATTATTTACCAAACGTTAAAAATTATTTAACGAGTATCTATAAATTACTAATGTTATTACAAAATAAATTAATTAAATTTGTAATTAAAAATTATTTACCAAACGAGATTGGTGGCAGTACCTTTCCGTATTGGACGAATCAAGCAATTATAGTCGGTTTCCATATAAAATATTAACTTAAGATGTTCATTTTTGTATTCATATTGAAAATGACCAAAATATCCTCCATATTCAATGACTGGTTGAGCATCAATTAACAGATTCGAGAAATGTGCGAGGACTGAAATCGTCATATTTACATTTCCTTTTATCTTGCCATATTATTTTCATAATCAATGGTTATTATTAATGACACCACAAATATAAAAGGATTTCCAAATTTTCTCAATTTTTTCAAATTTGGTAGACAAAGTCAGAAGTTTCCATTGGGTATATATAGGGTTTTGTTGGTGAAATGAAAAGTTTTTTGAGTTGAACATTTTAGCTCCAACTCAATAGAACTTATTTGAAGAAGATTGGAATTTTTTTGATTTTTTTTTTGATTTTTTTGGATTGAAAAGGTGCATTCTTGAAACCCTTTTTCTTGTTTTGTTTTGTAGTATTGTGGCTTCCAAATTTTTTTTCTGGGTGATTTGGATTGAAAAGGTGCAATCTTGAAACCCCTTTTATTGTTTTCTTTTGTTTTTGGGTGTTTTTGTTATTGAATGTTTGTTCGAAGTCGAATAAGAAATCTTAACTGTTTAGAATTAGAAATTTGGGATTTGATATTCAAACAGGAATAAATTTTCTATTTTTATAATTAAAGGGCTTTGATGTTTTGAGTTCTTGTGATTCTTCATAAGCTCAAATCACTGAAAATGTTCTATTGTAAAACCCCTTTATTGTTTAAGAGACCTAAATTGTTTAATGGAATTTATAATCAGATTCCTTTAGGAAATGATATGTCTAGGCTTTTTTTAGTCAAACTAGATTTCCTACAACTACAGATAGGGACGTTACAGCTATGTTTCCTGTAACGGAAAATTGTGGAGATTTATGAGATTCTGAATAAAATTATCTTTCCTTTAGTCTGTTTGGAGCTTTGTTATGAGGTATTATATTCTGTGCTTTGATTCTTTATAAGGTATTGTGTTTGTTTCTTCGATTTCTGTTATTATATGTTAGTTTCATGTAGTTGATTACAGTATTATTTTGTTGTAGTATTGCTCTGCTACTATCTGTTCTGTTATTTCTGTTGGCTGTTTTTATTTTGAGCCGAGTTTCTATTGGAAACAACCTTCTCTGAGGTAGAGGTCAGGTGTGTGTATGTCTTTCCCAGACCTCACTTTGCGGGACTACATTGAGTATGTTGGTGTTGTTTTTGTATTATTGTGTATGTTTGCTTTTCAATGAGGATGGCCTATTGAGTGACAAGCTTAGGCATTTATTTTATTTTCCCACTTCTATGGGTTCTAGGCTTCTAGTCAACTATATGTCTTTTTGGTGCAGATAATGGACTAGTTTTTTCATGTGGTTTTAGTTTGAAATTATTTTTTAGTAATTATGGTCTTGAGCCGGGATGGTCCACGAGCATGGATTTTGGGTAACTACCCATCAAGGCCGAGATAGATGTGCTCACACTTTATTTCTTAGAGAATTCTTGAGTTTTTTGCTTATTAAGATGGTACCGTAAGCAACCATTGTTTGACATGAAATATAGTGGATATAACAATGTCCTACCTATATCCTCTACTATATTTTTGTTACTTTTTCCTCCTAATATTGGTTACCCTGTTATGCAGGTGGTTATGTTGTTTTCAAGCGAAGACCAAATTGATGTGTATTAACAGACGTTTGGGAGTACTGATATTTCCTGTGTTCTGTGATACTGGTTGTGTTTCTCTTATAAACGAGTGCGAGCAAATTTGTTGTAGTTGATAAACCAATATGCCTAGTAATTATCTTTTTAGAGTAGGTGGTGCATTGTGTCAGGGAATTAGGAAATCCATTTCTGGGCAAGAAAGGGGGCTTCAATTGGTGGAGATTTTTTCTGAAGAGCGGTTGTTGTTCGGGAAGTCCTTCTGTTCTGTGCCATCTGCAGGATTGTCTGACCTGCATGTGTTTGTAAGGCCTGGAGCTTTTGCTGCAGCACCGACAAATTTGAATATAGTTAATCAAAGAAAGAATATTTCTGGGATCAGTGCTATTCCTCGTACATTTGGGCTCAAGGGTTTTCACAGTTCTTCAGCTGCATGTATCTCTGCTGGTGCTGCTCCTGATGTGTCCTTTGATAACTCTCTGCGTGAGGTACAACGTGCAAGTTCAGCAAATTCTTCTGAACAGTATGTCTCTCAACTTTGCTATAGCTATTCAATTAAGACAAGTTTCTGTAGGTACTGATATGGGCCTATCCGTTTGTAACCTGATTCAATTGGCAAGTCATTACCCGAGTTCAGGTGGGATTTAAGGTTTCATCCTGAAGTTTCTCAAGTTGACTTTGTTTTACTGGACAGATACTAGAATCCTTCACATCTCGTTGTCTTTTCTTAAGCTTATTTCTACCTCTATTACTTCCATTGCTGAGTGTGTAGATGTCTCTAATTTGTTGCTTCACGTACTGCCAATTTATTTGTAGCACCACAGAACTATCACTAAATGAGTGCATGCTATTGCGGTGTCAGCTTTGGAGTTCTACGAATTTGTACTTAGTAATTGGGTTCTACTGTCATATTTCAGGAAAATCCATATTGACAGAAGCCTGAAGCTTGATTCAGGATCGTCTTACCTGCCTCACCCTGATAAAGAAGAAAAAGGTGGAGAGGATGCTCATTTTATTTGCATTGATGAACAAGTAATTGGCATAGCTGATGGTGTTGGTGGATGGGCTGATGTTGGTGTTGATGCTGGAGAATACTCTCGAGAACTGATGGCAAACGCAGTAATGGCAATTCGCGAGGAACCAAAAGGTTCAGTAGATCCAGCCAGGGTCCTGGAGAAAGCTTATACACTCACAAGAGCCAAAGGGTCCTCAACTGCCTGCATTATTGCCCTTACAGATCAGGTATATAAGTAATTCTGTATCTACTATTCTTGGCCTTAGATGCATTAGGAGAGAAACGATTTCCCAATTTAATATTTAGTACTTGACTACTTGTGCTTCAGCACCGGAATGTTATTAAGAGAATGGTCGTGGATTGGAGTTATCTGGTACTTATTTGTTAGTGGAACATGTTGGGGTTTCTGAAATAGAAGCAAGAAAATTTTATTGAGGAAACACATGGGTCCATCCATGATAACTTTTTGAGCTCTATACATGTGATAAAACCTTCCGTTTAAGGAATGTGGATACTACTTTCAGATGGCCCAAAGATAAAAGTGACACTGCCTTTCTGGGACACAAGAGTACCTTGATGGAGTTCAGATATAAGACTAAACGGTTTTTAGTTGGTTCAGTTAGATGCTGAGATGTCCATTAATAATTAAGTTTCTTTTAGACAAAAGACTTTTGGACCTATTAGCCATTGTTTACAACCAGAATTAGGTATGGAGAAGTAGTTTAGCGAGTAAAATGGCAAAGAACTTAAAAAGATGTTAAGCTATTTAGAAGTTTATATCTTTATGTATGCTAAATTTATCATTTTTCTATCTTCTCAGGGTCTCCATGCCATTAACTTAGGAGATAGCGGATTTATGGTGATTAGAGATGGATGTACTGTTCTAAAATCCCCTGTGCAGCAGCATGATTTCAATTTTACATATCAGCTGGAGAGTGGTGGTACTGGCGGTGATTCACCAACTTCAGGGGAGGTCAGTTCTTGCTTTCCATAAACTGTCCTAGTAGACAAGTTACAACTCGAACAAATGGTTATTGAGACAAATCACAATCAATCAAATCACATTTTCAAGAAATGTGAAATATCTAAATCGTTCAATTAAAGAATTTTTTCAATGATAAGAAAAATAAAAATTGTGAACTGGGGATTGGTTTATGATAAATAGTGATCATCAAATAATTGTTGAAAAACCCTGTTTGTATCTCAATCTTTATTCATTTTTCATTTTCCTCATTACAACTTATGAAAACAAAATTATTCATTTTCTTCATTGAGCCGAATCTGGAGAGGTGCTTTCACACTCTGGAACATTGTCATTCTTTTTAATCAACTTATGTTAATACCCTTCTCACTCTCTCCTTTGTTTCTTGGATGAACTAACGTGCTCTTAGATGACCTAAATTTTGGATGATCTGACTGACATTATTTTGCTATCTGACCTAATACTGTTATGTGTTTATACCTAGTGTAATATTCTGTCAACTATAAATGTGGTTTGTTGTTGACTTATGACTGTCGCTTGAATTTTTCTTTCTCCCATTCAGTCGGTCTGTAGTCTATCTCTATAAAATTGTATGGTTGGCTTCTGGTGCAGGTGTTTAAAATACCTGTTGCTCCAGGAGATGTCATCATTGCTGGAACTGATGGGTTGTTTGACAATTTGTATACCAGCGATATAACTGCAGTAGTGGTGCACGCTAGGAGAGCTCACTTACCACCTCAGGTTGTAGCTCAGAAGATAGCTGCATTGGCTCGGGAAAGAGCACTCGACAAAAACAGGCAATCCCCTTTCTCTGCTGCAGCCCAAGATGCTGGCATCCGTTTCTATGGTGGGAAGTTGGACGACGTAACAGTGGTGGTGTCTTACATAACCAGTGACAAAAATGTACGAGGAAACTATACCCTGACCAACTGACATGTCAACTCATTATGTTCATTATTTGCTTGGTTCATTTTTCCTGCCAGAAACACAAGTATCTCAGTCTTATCTATTCACTATAGCCTCGGAGTTCAATCCTGGGAAGAATTTGTTGATTGAAAAAGGAGATAGTTGTTTAGTAGTGCATACTACATGGTATCTGTGCAGAAGAATGAAAATAGCTCTTTGTCTAGTGTTTTGTCAAACTTTGTGCAGAGTATTGCTTTCAACCGGTAGATGGCATATGTTCTTCGCCACTGTGTACTTATTTTAATTTTTCTATGACAGGAGAAACTCACTTTCTGATTACCTTCTGAATCCGCTTGCACAATGAACAGGTACTCAACTTCCAAAATGTTAGAAGCTGATCTTTTGCTATATGTTACTTGTGTGCAGCTTCAAAACTCTCATACAAGAAGGAACCTGATGCTTTTACTTTCTGTTTGCAGGAAAACTCCAACAGCTTGAAGATTTAGTTAGAGAGATTTTATACTATGTTGCTCAGACTCTTCAAAAATGTGTAGTGTGCGTATTGGATTCTCCAAAAGCAGTGTACTTTTGAAGAATCTGACACTGCTTCAGCAACGTAAGTGAAGAGTCTGCGCAACTTAGATTGTTGTATACCTATATCGACCAACAGTTTCGGTCTTGTGAAATTCTAATTGCTTGGCTTCGCATGGCAGTCAGTTTTGGTGCTTGATGCAGAATGGATGAGTTCATGCGTAGCCATTTAAGTGTTTTTCCACATGTATATATTGTTCTTTTGGCAATTTACTGGTAATATTTTTGTACATTTGGAATTGCCATTAAGGCTATACGAAACTTACCGCATATATCTTCATTCTTTATTGGAATTTTAATTTGTGTCAACCTTCTGAGTTTCTTTTATCTCTACGAGGTAAAAGGGATAATGTCTGTGTACACTTAACTCTTTTTGTGCCCCATACATGGAAATACATCGACTTCAATGACTTGCCTATTCATTAGGCCACATCTTATTGGGTTTCTTATACCTTTCTCTAATTATTACATTAATATTTAAAAAGTACGTACAATATTTAAGAGGAATAACCTTGTAATTTCTTTTTTTAATGGACGTGAAACTAAATTATCCTTGTTATGTATTTTTTGGAAATTTAAGTTTGACCTTTAATAGTATTTCATTTATGTGATATTCCACTATCAAAAGATCATAATAATTATATAAAAACAGCTAGTACTAGAAGGCTGCCTAACTCTAAAAGCAGCCAGTACTAAAGACAACTGGCAAAATATGTACAACTTTTCTTTAATAAACTGATATAATTAGTCAAAACGATATAATTATCACATGATTTATAAGTGAGAAATTCAAATAGTTAAAATTATATAATTAAACATATAATTGATACAAGTTGGTCTTAACCAACATGATTAATTTCTAGCTCTTCCTAATTTTAGATAGGACCACAGACCACTATGATGATAGCTTCATATAATATAGTTAGTCATAGTTTCAGAATTTATACAATAATATACTTCGTATAGTTTTGTAAGTAGAGAATTTCAAAATTTATATGATAATTTTCTTTTTAGATCATAATATTTAATAATAAAAAGTGTCAATATGGCAATTAAATATGACCTAAATGGAAGCAACCACTTAAATGTGCTTTGTGAATAAGGAAATCTATTTAAAAAAATCAAAACCACCACCTAATCCTCAAATTTAGCAAATCATTTAATAATTTTCCATAACAACGTAATTAGAGAGTCATCTTAAATTAGAAATCTTTGACTTAAAAATATTTTATTCTTAAAATAAAATTCTTTGACTTGAATTTGAATCAATCAAATACTGAATGATGAAAAAATGTTGATTTATTTACATATTTCTTCTTCTTCTTCTTTTTTTTTAACATCATCACTTAATTTTTACTTATATTTTTTAAATTGTCCAAACGTACCTCTTGTAATTGGCCAAATATTTTAGGGCATTCGTCATTGGTGCCTCAATAAAAACTTTTTTTTTTAAAAAAAAAATGCTACTTTAACATATTTATTGAGCAAAATTCTAATATAAATATCAATATTAATGACTTTCTAAATAAATAGATTCAATATTAACAGAATATCGTAATTTCTTGGGCTTATTTTATTTTTTGATTAGAATCATAATTCAAATTAAAATAATTCAATAAAGATGACCCTAAATGTCACCAAATAATTTTTTTTAAAAGATCTCCTAAATTAACTTATCGAAAGAGGACAATGCACGTGCCCAAGACGAACTCAACTTCTTCGTAGACCAGAAGATCACCGAAAAAACACCCAAAACTATAACATGACATGATAAATCACTCTCTATTTTACTTGAAAGTAAATTATTTTATAAATAGTTATCCCCAAAAAAAATAATTTTCCATTTTTATAAAACAGAAAGAATATTACAACTATTCAATTCACCTATACTCTGCTCCACAAAACACCAAATACAAATCCAAATTGTATAAAATATTCTTACCACAACGGTGCCACTAACCACTGAGCCCCCCTTCCGACGACTCACTCACTTCTTACATACAAAAAAAATAATTCAAATACTTAGATTTATTTTCAATAATAATAATCAAAGATCACCAAGATCCAAACTTTTTTGCATCTTGGGCTTAAATCTTGAAGACCCATTTTAATTTTTTTGTTGTTTAATGTTTTGAGTAATCTTTACTTCATGTTATAAAAAAAAGAAAGAGAAAAAAAGGGATATTTTGTCTTGAAAAGTGAAGAGAAAATGGCGGGTCGTAGGGAGAAGTATGGTCAATCTATAAGAGGATCTCGAATTGCTGGAGCAATTGCGATCGGAGTTTTGTTGGGTTGTGTGTTTGCTTTCTTGTATCCTAATGGATTTTTTTCTCCCGATCCAAGGTCTCAAAGTCACCCTGTTTCTAAATCTAATCTTCAGGTGAGTTTTCAGTTAATTTGGGTTACTTATATAATGGGGTTGTGATAGAATTGTGTTATTTACTTGTATAGAATTGTGTTATTTACTTGTATTGACATCTCTGCTTACTAGACTAAGAGCAAAGGTGGTGGGGTGTAAGGTCTGTGTACCTCTCCGAGACTCCATTTCCGTGGGCGGTTACACTGGGTATGTTGTTGTTGTAGTAGACTAAGTAAGACCAAAGATGTAGTAAGGTGTGCGTACATCCTACCCTTTCCAATCTCCACTTTTGTGATTATATTTGGTGTGTTGTTGCTGTACTAGACTAAGAAAGAGTGAAGAAGGGGTAAGGTGTGCATACATCCTACCGTCACAGTCTCCAATTGGGGATTACACTGGTGTGGTGTTGTTGTTGTAGTAAGAGCAAAGGTTTGTGTACATATTACCCTTCTCAGACCTCAATTATGGGATTACACTGGTTACGTTGGTATGTTGTTGTAAGAGCTTAGGGGAGTTTTGTTTTTCTTGAGGTTAATTAATGTAGTTGTTTCTTAGAGTTGTATTGTTACCCTGTCTTTGAATTGCATTTAGGTGGCGTGTATGAAGTTATAGGAATTTAGTCAGCTGGTATCCTTTGTTAGATTGCATGTGTACATCTTCATTTATATATAAAAGGACAAATGTTAATTATGGTTGTCGTTTTTATGTTGGAACTGGATATAACGTGTGGATGTTGCTTGATAAGTGTTGAATTATTTTTATAGCTCCTTAATTAGAGATTCAATTTGATTCCTAGGTTGACTTGCCCAACTGTGAATCCACGGAGGGGGTAAACATGATGAAATCTGAATATAGGAAGTTGACTGAAAAGAATGCAGAGTTGCAAAAGCAGGTGAGAGAGCTAAATCAAAAGCTTCAGGCGGCTCAGCAGGGAAATGGTCGTACACAGGAGCAACTGGTGGTGTCGAGTCAACCTCAGAAAGCTGGACCTTTTGGAACTGTCAAAAGTTTGAGAACTAACCCTCCTGTTATGCCTGATGAGTCAGTGAACCCAAGATTAGCAAAGCTCTTGGCAGAGATTGCAGTTGGCAAAGAGGTCATAGTTGCACTTGCTAATTCAAATGTGAAATCCATGTTGGAGGTTTGGTTCAACAGTATTAAAAAAGTGGGTATCCCCAATTATCTGGTCGTGGCTTTAGATGACGCTATAGTGGAGTTCTGCAAGGAAAATGATGTCCCAGTTTATAAAAGGGACCCTGATGAGAATGTTGATTTTATTGGAAAAAGTGGAGGCAACCATGCTGTCTCAGGGTTGAAGTTCCGAATTTTGAGGGAATTTTTGCAGCTTGGTTACGGTGTCCTCCTGTCTGATGTCGATATTGTGTATTTGCAAAATCCTTTTGATCATTTATATCGTGATTCAGATGTTGAATCAATGTCAGATGGTCACAATAATATGACAGCTTATGGTTATAATGATGTTTTTGATGAACCATCAATGGGTTGGGCTCGATATGCACATACAATGAGGATATGGGTTTATAATTCTGGTTTCTTTTATATTCGGCCAACAATTCCTTCAATTGAGCTCTTAGATCGGGTTGCTGATCGGCTTACTACTCAGCCAAATTCCTGGGACCAGGCAGTTTTCAATGAAGAGCTGGCTTTTCCATCACATCCTGGGTATATTGGCCTTTACGCTTCCAGGAGAACAATGGATATCTACCTGTTCATGAATAGCAAGGTCCTATTCAAGACTGTAAGAAAAGATGCTAATCTGAAGAAGTTGAAACCAGTTATAGTTCACGTTAACTATCACCCGGACAAATTTCCTAGAATGAAAGCAGTTGTTGAGTACTATGTCAACGGCAAGCAGGATGCTCTGGATGCATTCCCAGATGGTTCAGTATAGTAGCAGCAGCTGAAATGGACCTTTAATTGAGATCTAGGCCAGTGATATTCTATGTCTTGCTATTTGTCTTTTCATACAGGTAGGCTCAGTTGATTCCCCTTTTGGATCAATGTGTAATACCAACCTCTTTTTTGAGAACTCAATGTGTAATACCAACTTCTTATCAACTACATTCAGAACTTGCATCTCTTTCACCACCGTAGTACTTCTATTCGAAAATTTTGCAGTATTTGTTCTTTTCTTATTTAGTGACTTGCTAATATGTAGCTTTCGTATTATATTTTTGGTTCATCTTGTCTCTTGAGTGGCTACTGGAAGCACTGCGGGATTCTAGCAGCAAGGGCATTGAAGTAACGACTCTGTTTGCAAAAAGAAATAATCACCTTACAAGCCTATTTAGTTATCGTCCTTATTTGAAGTCATATAGCTATTATTTGATATTTTTCTTTTTATGAAGCATAGACATTTTAGAGGACTATTATTTAGTTTAGGTATTTTGGCTTCTTAACTTCTTTTAGCACTAGAGTTTGTGATGCAGCTTCAACCCTGTGTTGTGGTATCCTATGACAAACTGGTACTGTCCCTTGCTGTTTGGCATGAGACTTCATGGATTTGTTTAAGCAATAGTTACAAATCACTTGGCCGGCGTTTGTGAAGGTTATTTCCTGATTAGGTACTTCAAAGTAGAACTTATATATGAATGTGTATGTATATATAACAAAAGTTTTTACTCAATTAGTGTGGTTTAGGGTGTTGCACCTGAATAAATTTAGTGTTTGGTGCTTAAATGCTGGTTGGTGTTGATTATATCGCGTGTTATTGACTTACTATATTATGTATTACTATTATTTATACCACCAGCATCATGATATTGCTAATCGATGATCATGATCTCTTAACATATGCAACTTAGGTTGGTAGATTCACATTTTCTGGACAGTGAAATATGAAGTGTTGAGAGTGTCATTTTCATTACAATACTAGAAAAAGGGAGATGCTCGATACAGATGCCAATATGAGGCGTGTTTTCGGAATACG